CACCACCACCACCACCACCATCATCATCACACTATCACCACCACCAAATCAAACTCAGGGCCATGGGGTCCATTTCAACTCCTAGTGACCCTGCAGTTCAGGGTAGAACTGCCCCTCCCCCTCTGGGTTTCTGAGGCTGTCAGTCCTCACGGGAGCTGACTGCTTGTGAGAAAGATGATGCTCCCAGGGCTCCCAGAGCGCTGGCGTGGTGGCAGTGGCAGTTAGACGCTGTTGACTTGGTTCCCACTCATAGCAGCCCCATGTCAAGAGGATGAAACACCGGCCGCTCCTGTACAGCCTGTGCTTAGGTCTGAGCCCATGGTTGCAGCCACTGTGTCCGTCCATCTCGTTGAGGGTCTTCCTCTTTTTCGCTGCCCCTCTGCTTTACCAAGCCTGATGTCCTTCTGCAGGTGTGGGGAGAGGAGGGTCCCCGACAAATCATCACAGGCCCGGGTGGCGCAATTGTACAGCGATAAGTAAAGATTATAGTAAAGTCATAGAGAGCATGAGAGGTAGAGGAGAGATTGGAATAACGGAGTCAGACACAATTCATGGTAGTGTGCTCACCTCAGCCCTGCTTGGTGGTCCTTCTGGGGAGAGCCCCCTTTATTGCTAAACAAGGATTATATCTCTTTTGGGGGGCATAATCACAGGTGACCACATGTCAATAGGCATACACACCATAGGAAGGGGATCTATGATAGGCACAAGCATGTCATGAAGGGGATGAGCTAGGGGTGTGCCCAGAGGAATGGGAAAGTCTAGGGGTATACGTGTGACAAGATGGGCGGACCCTAGATTCATGATGGCAGCCTACCCTTGGTCATCCTTGGGCGGGTTTGACCTCTCTGGGGTCTCCTACAAGGAAACAGACAACTACTATCCTTATCAGAAGGGAGTGGGCCCTATTTCTTTTGGGATAAACAAGGGTGACTGCTTGCTCTAGATGGCTGATAACCCTTAGGGAGAACAACCCTGATTTACTTCTGATGACCTCCAAGTGTATAGTCATTCGCAAGCAGCTAAGTTTGGCATGTATTTGGGGGAGACAACTTGGGAGAAATCCTTGTGTTTCCCACATGCAGGGACTGGCCTCTCCTGACATGTCCAAGGTAGGTGAGATGAAGTCTTGCCATCCCTGCCTTTCAGGAGCCCTCTGGCCATGCTTCTCCCAGGAGAGCTCGGGGTTTGTCTGTTTGGAGTCCACGGTCCTTCCAATAGTCTTCTCCAGCCCCATAATCGAATGCACCGATTCTTCTTCGGTCTTCCTTGCTCCGTGTCCGGCTTCCACATGCCTCTGAGGTGACTGAAAATACCATGGCTTGGGTCAGGCCCCCCACTTCAATCCTCAAAGGAACCTTCCTTGCTTTTCCACACCTTGAAGATGTCTCGTGCAGCAGACTGGCCCATTGCAGGGCCCTGCATAGCACCCACAGTACCCGCTTTATTTGACTGGCACGGCGTGTCCCTGAGGCAATACCCAGACAGCATGCAGACCTGTGTCTGGTATCAAGAAAGCACAGTGGTTAGCGATGATTTGGGCTCCTGGCTGTTGGCTGACCCAAACAGAAACACCACCAGTCTGGAGCCGATTACCCAACCAACAAGGTAAGCACAGGCTGAGTGGTGCTTACTCACTGATCTACAGAATGCTCAGTGCAGATGAGTGAGTCGGCACCAGCCAGCTGGTGCATACCTTGCTTATTGGCTCCTTGGGCCGAGTCAGAGAACTGAGAAGAGGTGTGGATTCTGTAGGAAAGTGCGGTGGGCTTAGAGGAGGGACAGACGCCAGCCAGACCTTGGGCGGAGCTGCGTCTTGGATACTGTGAGGAGTGCAGTGGTTCCCGACAGATCCGCGTGGAAGTGTGCTCAGGGAAGCTTGTGTTCATCTTGCTGGGTGGCCCGAGCCTGGCCCTGCTGTCCTTCTCTCTCATGGCGTCTGAACGGTGCTGGGCGCATAGCGGGCTCTGCACAGTCACTGTCTACAGAGCTCGCACAGGGCTCCCCAGGCGGGCTTTGCAAACCCCCTTGGATATTTGTGTGCTCAATCATTCAGCAGCATTGCTGAGGGCCTCCACAAGGGCACTAGGTGTTGGGGATCAGTGGGGAGCAAAGGAACCCCGGTCCCTGCCCTCTTGAAGCTCCCAGCCAGTAAGGGGCACCCGAAGCTGCACAATCTAAGGTGCGCAATGAATGCCCAGTGACAACCGCGGCAGAGGAAGGGCTCCCTCCCTGCTGCTCTGGGAGCTTAAACAGGTGTGGTCTCACCTGGGGCCCAGGCACTCCTCCTGCCACTGCGCTCACCTGGTCCACGCCACCATCCTCTCACACCTGGATGGTCAATGAACACGTCAAAGCCTTCCTGCTCCGTTGGTCAGTTTCCAGCCAGGCTGGTCCTTTTGACTCGTGGCCCGCTCTGCGTTACTCAGGGTAGAAGCCAACCTTCCACCAAGGCGGACAAGCTCTTGAATGACGCCTGTCCATTTCCTCTCAGACGGCTCTCACCTCCTCCCATGTTTGCCCTCACTCGTCTCCTCCGGCCACACGGGCCTCCGCTGCACTCTGCTTGGAAGCTGGGCCTCAGGGGCCCTCACATCTCCCGCACCTCTGCTAACTCATCACCCTAGTGTCGAGACAGACCCTCCCTGATCTATAGCAGAACCGGCCTTCCCCGGCCACCCCTCCCAGCCTTCTCTCTTCAGTGCACTCTTGACCACCCACCACCTGCACGCTCCTGTTTGCTTATCATCTCCCCCTCCGGGTGGGCCCTTTCTTTTCCCTTGTGCACGGCAGAGGAGGTTGAGGGCCGGGAGTTGTCGGGATAAATCCCATATCCCTTTGGAAGCCTTTGGTCTTTCTCCTGAGCGATCAGAGGAATAAAGAGGGCAGACTGGTTTTTTAAATCTGCATAACAAACGAAGGGTGGCCCTGGGCAGTCCGGCCAGAGGCAATGGAAGGACAAAGGTCGTTTGGGCAAGGTTGGTGGAGGTGGAGAGAGATGGACATATGGGCGTGCCTTTGGGAGGCCCTGTGAGGAGCCCTGGGGAGGTAGTGGGTACGTGTTGGGCTGCGAACTTCAAGGTCAGCAGTTCAAAACCACCAGCTGCTCCGAGGGAAAAAGATGAGACTTTCTACTCCTATCAAGAGTGGTAGCAGAGAACAAGGTAGGACTGCCCTGTGGGTCTGAGAGAGCAGAGGAGAGAGCATCAACTTTCTCCCATGGAGCAGCTGGTGGATTTGAACTGCTGATGTTGCAGTTAGTGGCTCATCGAATAACCACTATGCCAACAGGGCTCCCTCACGGCACCAGAAAAAATCTCCCAACCAAACTCACTGCCCTCGAGCTGATGCATGGCCACCCGAGGGCACAGGGTCGAACTGCCCCTGGGGGTCCCTCACTGCCGCTCTGGACAGGAATAGGCAGGCCTGTCTTCCTCCCACGACTGGCTAGTGGCTTCAACTGCTGGCCTTGCAGATCGCAGCCCAACCACAGCATAACCGCTGTCGGAAGAAGATGGCCGAATCACAGCTTCACCACTCCGCCGCAGGGCTCCTTCCCCGAAAGTTCCGTCTGCACAAGTCTTGTCTCATGAGCTTAGCCAGAACACTCGTTCACAGGACAGCTAGCGCTGGGGTGGGGCCCCTACTCCCCACTTGACCCATGCTGGGGCTTTGGGTCTAAGGAAGTCTCAGGAAGTGAGGTTTGGCTAAACATCTTCCATCTTGCTAGCTTGCCCGCTGTTGGCTTCTTTAGTTACAGAGAAGAGACTTTTTTGGGGGGAGGGGGGGGGCTTTTTAATCTGCACCTGTTGTTGCTGCCAGGTGGCTGACATCTCCATCATTCAGTCTGAGAACTACGAGGCAAAAACCCGAACCGAAACACACACCTCCCTGACCACCCCCAGCCCCCAGCCCGGGTCCCCGACGCCCAGGGACCTAGGTTGTTCCTTCAGTGCTGAGGTCCCCTGCCAGTCTCCTCGGCTTTGTTCTAGATCGCGCCCAGGGGCTCGGCTGGACTTCTCGGGGGCGAGTGCGTGGCGCCACCCTCTTGTCCTGGGACTGGAAGGTGGGTTGTCTTTCCGACCATCTGAGGAGGCCCTCGAACAAGCACCCCCAGGCTGCTCTCCGCAGCGCAGTGTTTTGGGCACCAGGCTCTGAGCACGGGTGGGACTGCCCCCTGGTTGGCTGCTCTGCTTCTCAGCGTCTTCCTAAAAAAAACCCCAAACACCCAGCAAATAAGCACTGATTGGGGCAAGAGTGGAGGCCACAATGAGGGGCGGAGAGGCAGGAAAGCAGAAGTGGGCGAGCGGAGCCAGATCTCTGCAGGGGAAGCAGCTCAGTCCACGTGGAATGGCTGCGCGGGGCAGGGCAGTTGTCCACGGGCAGGACCATGCATCTGGTGTTGACTGCCTTCCTCCTCTCTCTCCTGAGTGCCTGGTGCAGAAGGGTTGCCGGGGAAGACGGTACGTACCGGGGCAAAGCCATTCCGGTCCTTTTTGGGGCCGTGGGTGTGGGTGCTATGTGCAGGAGCTGGGCGACACTTGTGTAGGACTCCAGAAATCCTTCCCTCCACCCATTCCCCCTGCAGAGAGACGGAAACACCTGCTTGTTTGTTTGTTTTCCCCTCAGAGCGGCAGACAGAGCAGAGTTTGTGTTTGGGACCCGGTAGGCTGTTGACAAAGTGAAGGTGATGGCGACAAGGATGACCAGTGTGTACTGCTGTCACCCATGCTTTGGTTACAACAACATTTCTAGTGGGTCAACCTATTACATGGAAAACAGATCAAAGAAAAGAAACCAAGACATAGTAATATTTGGATTTCTGTAGCCCAATGCATGTCTTTAAGAAAAAGAGAGAAAACCCCCCTGATTTCATTGTGTACTTAATTCTTTTTTTTTAAAGTCATTTTATTGGGAGCTCATACAACTCTTATCACAGTCCATACATCTATCCATCGTGTCAAGCACATTTGTACTTTGCTGCCATCCTTATTTTCAAAACTTTTTTTTCTACTTGAGCCCTTGGTAACAGCTTCTCATTTTTTTCCCTCCCTCCCCCAAGCACCTTTGATAATTTAAAAATTATTATTTTGTCATCTCTTATACCGACCGCTGTCTCCCTTCACCCACTTTTCTGTTTTCCTTCCCCCTGGGAGGGGTTATATGTACATCCTTGTGATTGGTTCCCCCTTCTCCCCCACCTTCCTCTTACCTCCTGATAGCACCCGTGTACATACTCTGGTCTAGCCAGATTTGTAAGGTAGAATTAGGGTCATGATAGTGGGGGGAAGGAAGCATTAAAGAACTAGAGGAAAGTTGTATGTTTCGTCGGTGCTATACTGCACCCTGACTGGCTCATCTCTTCCTTGTCTCCCTTCACCCACTTTTCTGTTGTCCGTCCCCCTGGGAGGGGGTTATATGTAGATCATTGTGATCGGTTCCCCCTTTCTCCCCCCATCTTCTCCTTCCCCTCCTGGCTTTATTTTTGGCTTGGTTTGGTTTTTCTCCCAGCGTGGGCATTTGTACGGCCGGGTGCATCGAAGTCAGGACAAATGGTTGCCGAATCTGTGTGCATTTTGCACACTCCTCCTGTACCTAGCCTGTGGGGTCGGTTACGACAGGTAGCATTCTGTGCTTTGAATGGCTGTCAGAATGAAGAACACTTGACCTTTTGAAATAGCGCCCGATACTATGGGCTCTTGCAGGCCACTGGGAGCTTTCCATTCACCCACTCATAGATTTTACCAACAGCAGACTCGGTGGGAGTCAAAGCAAGGTCTTTGCTGGGGACCAAGTGAGTGTGGGTGCCATGATGCAACTCACTCGCTCCTCTCCGCCGGCCTTGGGTGGAGGGGCTTGTTCTCTCTTCACGGTACAGGGGAGGAAGCCGAGGCTCAGAGTACGTTTCCCCAAGGGCGCACCGGGATGGAAAGGTTTAAGATCGAGCGCACGCTGGTTATTTGGATTGAAAACGGAGGCATCATTAAGCACAGTACGACCCCCCGGTCTTGAATGTTCAGTGCGCTCAGTTGTCACGATCCAGTCACCGTGGCGGAAAAGGAGCCATCAGACATCTGCGTCCTGGGCAAGGGCCTGGCTTCTCCTTCCTCGTCAGTTCCCACCACATCCCATCTCCCACGGAACCACTTTCTGATTTCTATGACCGGAGGCGGTGTGTAACCTTCCCTTTTGCTCTGGCTTCTTCCACACACACGTGAGAACTTTGAGATTCATGCGCGTCGTTGCTTATGGCGGCATTTCTTCTCCCTTTCTGAGTAGCTCCCACATTGTGTGGTTGTACCGCTAACCTCGAGGTCCGCAGTTCGAAACCCACCAGCTGCCTCGAGGGAGCAAGATGAGCCTTTCTACTGTGAAGAGTTATGGTCTCGGCGACAGTTCTTCCCTGTCTGAGAAGATCCCGGTGGGTTCGAATTGGCTCGATGCAGTGAGTTTGTTTTTTTTTTATTTCCCCCTTGGTGGACATTTATGTGGTTTCCAGTTTGGGGCTGTTATGAACAAGAGTGGCAGAAACACTCTTGTACAAGTCTTTCTGTGGACATATATTTCCGTCTCTCTTGGATGAAATCTCTAAGAATGGAGCGGTGAGTCGTAGGCTAGGTGTCGGTTTGATTTCACCAACCCTGCTAGTCAGTTCTTTCAGCCGGCTGTGCAGCTAGCTCGCTTGCCGGTGACGTGGGAGCGTTCCAGTGGCTCCGTGTCTCACTAACGCTGTTCAGTGGGTTGGTTTTTGACATTTTGTTTTCAGTCATCCTATGGGCATCGGATGGTGCCATTGTGGTTTTGGTTTGTCTTTCTCTTGCGACGACCGTCAAACACCTTCCCCTGTACGAGCAGCCATTCACGTAACTTCTCTAGTGAAGTTAGAATCTTTTGACTTCTTTTTTTCTTTTCAAATTGAGTTGCTTGACTTCTTTCTGGGTGATCTTGCACAGAGGGTTCGCACAGAGGCTACATGCGAGTCCCTTGTGGTGCTGCTGCTCTGCTGGGGGAGCGCCGCGTTGACAGTGGGGGCTGCCTGCTCCTGTACAGAATCACAGCCTCGGAGCCCCACATGGGGCCACGGGGAGTCAAATGTAGAGCACAGCGCTGCGTTCTCTTCCTTTTCAAAATCCACTGTGAGGTGTTTGTCAGCCACGTGCTTTTCCCTCCGAGCTTCCGCCTTGCTGATTTATTCCCTAAACAGTGAGTGGTTGAGTAGACCACGTGGATTTGGGTGGAAGAATGCATGCTGTCCTGTTTCCCTGTTCAGCTTCGTGCCTTTTGTGTCTCAGGGAACAGTTACCCACTTCAGGATTGCCTACGTATTTACTTAGCTTGGTCCTAAATGCTTGATGACTTTGGCTTGGATGTTCAGCTCTAAGATCCGTTTTGTAACTGAATCGTCCAAGTGGATTTCTGTACCTGCAGTGACGCGGAGGTGGTGGTTTATTAAAAATCAGCCGAGCACCCATTAGAAGCCGGGATGGCCGGAATCAGCGGCTTACTTTGCGCATCGTCGTCATGGTCATTGTCAGGCACCACTGAGTTGCTTCCGACACACAGCCTGGCCCCGCGCCGTCCCCACAACGGTCCTTAGGCCTGAGCCCATGGCTGCAGCCACTGGTCCATCCATCTCATCGCGGGCCTCCCTCTTCTTTCACCGTTCCTCTACTTTACCAACCTGAGGTCCTTCTCCAGGGACCGGTCCAACTTGACAACCTGCCAAAGTCCCTGAGATGAAGCCTCTCCGCCTGCCTTCTAAAGAGCTGTGCTTCTTCCAAGACAGAGTGGTTGGCTCTTTTGGCAGCCCACGGTTTTTCAATATTCTTCTCCAGCCCCATGCTTCAGACGCACAGACACTGCCTCGGTCTCCCTTATTCACTGCCCAGCTTTCACACAAGAACGAGGTCATTGATCATACCGCGCCTTGGGCCAAGCGCATGCCATTAGGAAGGACCCTCCACTAGCAAAGGACCTCGCGGTTGGTAACGTAGGAGGTCAGCAAATGTGAGGGGACCCCTGGACCGCCCGCCAGCCGCCGTGATGGACGCCAGCATGGCAGCAATGAGAGAGGGTCTGGGACTGAGTCACATCTGGTTCGGTTACACGTCCCGTCCCCAGGAGTCAAAGCCCGCCCAACAGCCACTGACAGCAATAGCAGCCCCAGTTGCTCAGCGTCCTTGGTTTGAAACAAGCGCTCCCTTTTTCGGGCAAATTGTTTTGGAATCTTGGTGGAAAATATGCTCATCATGGATACGGGGGTCTGGTTCTGGACTCTGTTCAGTTCCATGGATCCAGCCCTGCTTGTAGACATCACGTCGTCATCAGTGACCGCAGATGGCCCTGAGCATCTCTTGTGGCTACATCTCATTTGCCTACCGCCCTCCATTTTCCCGGGAGCCCTGGTGGAGCAGCGAGTTACTTGTTGGGCTGATGGCTGCAAGGCCAGCAGTTCGAAAGCACCAGCAGAAGAACGATGAGGCTTTCTCCGCCCACAAAGAGTTACGGTCTGGAAAACCCACAGGGGCAGTTCCACCTGGTTCTACAAAGTGGATCTGCATCGGAACCAACTCGGCGGCACTGAGTTAGTCACCCGCCACACGTGCCCATGAGCTCACACAGAAACTTCTGTGGCCCCGGGAATCGAAACTGCAGGGTGGCATGGGGGGGAATTGCACAATGTTGAGCAATTGCTCGGAGCTCTGACTTGAGTGCGTTTGGTGATGCTCAAACCTGAAGCTCCCTTTGTCTGGTTGACTGTGCCCGTGAGGGAGACTATGGGGGTGATCTGGGTACTTGGATGTTAGCGTGGGGTGGGGTGGGGCTGCTGTGGGATTCACCAACCAGAAAACTGTGCTCTGCAGGGAGCTCTTGAGCCCTTCCAGAATCGGAGGTGGTTCTCAGAGTCCTGGGTCTGATGTTTCCTGAGATTTCCAAAAGAGAGGAGAGTGCCCTGGGGACTGGAGAGAACCACCAGTCCAGAGTGGTCTCGGAGCGCAGCGTCTCGAGTCATGGGAAGATGGGGGTGGGGAGCATCTGTTCTTTTAGCTCAGCCAGTCAACAGAAGCCGTGAGCACACAGGTGGAAAGCTCAGGGCTTTGAACAGAGGGATGTTGGTTTGAACGCTGACTCTTCTGCCTCCTGGCTTTCTGATCTCTGATCAATCACTTAAACTTGCTAAGCCTCAGTTTCCTCGTCCATACAATGGGGGTGACAACTGGACTTTCTTCAGGGTTATTGTCAGGATGAAATGAGCCACTAATAAATGCCGCGGACATCCCTTGATCAATGCAGATTATTAGTACAGTTATTAATAAATATTGATTAGGCCAGGGTGCAGTATAGCATTGATGAGACACAACTTTCCTCTAGTTCTCTGGTGCTTCCTTCCCCCCACTATCATGACCTCAATTCTACCTTACAAATCGGATTGGACTGGAGCATGCACACTGCTACAGATGAGAGCCCGGAATCCAGGGAATCCAGGATAGAAGGGCCCCTCAGGGCCAACGAGGAGAGTGGGGATGCCAGGAGGATTGAGGGAGAAAGGGGGGAACCGATCAACCTAGAACCCCTTCCCAGGGGGACCAGTAGCAGAAAGGTGGGTGAGGGGTGACGGAGGACGGTGTAAGATATGGAAAAAATGGTCTATAACTTATCAAGGGCTCATGAGGGAGAGTGGCTGGCGGAGGGAGGGGAAAGAAATGGGGAGCAGTTATCAGGGGCTCAACTGGGAAGAGAACGCTTTGAAATGATGATGGCGGCGTATGTGCAAATGTGCTTGACACCCTGGAGGAATGTATGGATTGTGATGAGATGTAAGAGCCCCCAATAAAAGTATTAAAAAAAAGGAAAGACAACAAAAATTTTTTTTGAACAAATGATTTAAAAAAATTGAGCCGACAGTGCAAGATATGACAAAATAATAATATGTAAATTATCACGGGTTCATGAGGGAGCGGGGAGCGGGGAGGGAGGGGGAAAAAGAGGAGCTGATGCCAGGGGCTTGGGTGGAGAGCAAATGTTTTGAGAATGATGAGGGCAATGAATGTACAAATGTGCTTTACACAATTGATGTATGTATGGAATGTGATTCGAGTTGTATGAGCCCCTAATAAAACAATTAAAAATAATAACAATTAAAAGAACAATAACAAAAAAAAACCCCGCTATACATGCAAAAATATATTGACTAGGCATATTTAAAGAGCCCTGGTGGCATAGTGGTTACATACATGTTGGACCGACAAACCACAAGGTCAGCAGTTCAAAACCACCAGTGACTCTGAGGGAGAAAGAGGAGGCTTCCTACTCCCATAGAGAGTTAGTCTCAGAAACTCACAGGGGGCAGTTCTACCCTGTCCTGTAGGATCACTGTCTGCCCTTGGTTTCGGTGGCATAATGGTGAAGTGCTTGGCTGCTTTTCAAAAGGCCGGCGGTTCAAATCCACAGGCCGCTCTCTGTGGTGTGCTCCTGTGAAGATGTCGCCTAGGAAACCAGAGGAAACCATCTGGCACGATGAGCTGGATGGTGCCCACAACGGGCAGCACACTGAGAGTTCCCTGGGGGACACAGAAAGCTAGAGGTTGGTGGTTTGAGTCTGCCCAGGGTACTTTGGAGGATGGGTTTGCCAACCTACTTTCAAAAAACCAGCCACTGAGAAGCCTGTCGAACACAATTCTCCCCCAACCCACATGGGGGCACCAAGGACCAGAGTTGACGCCACGTGGCTGGTAGTGGTCCAGGTCCACAGGTGCATTTACCTGGATGCCCAGGTAGCCCGGCGGCACCTCCTGCTCCGGCTCCTTGCTCTGGGATCTGGTTTGGTGCTGGAAGCAGGGGAAGTCAGGCAGAGGCTAGCTTGATTCCTCCTCTCTCGCTGCTTGTTGGGAGCCTGGGCACGCTGCGTGTGCGTGTGAGTGTCCGCGCGCATGTGCATGTCCCGGGGTGCTGAGCACACTCACCATACCTGGTCTGTGACTTCTCAGTTAAAGGCCCTGTCCAGGAGAGCGGGCCCAGGAGAGGCGTGCTGTCAGTGCAGTGCCGCTATGAGCGTGGCTGGGAGCACTATGTGAAGTACTGGTGCCGGGGAGCTGTCTGGAAGTCCTGCTCCTGTGTGGTCAAGACCGAGGGCGACGAGAGGGAGAAGAGGAATGACCGGGTGTCCATCCGAGATGACCACAGACACCGCACCTTCACCATCACCGTGGAGGACCTGCGGGAAGGCGATGCTGGCAGTTACTGGTGCGCCGTGGAGAAGCGCTTCACCGACCTGGGGTTCCTGGTGCAGGTCACGGTGGGCCCGGGTAGGAGGCCTTTGTAGTTCATGTGCATCCTTAGTGTGATCGGGGTCTGATGAGCCTATCTCTTTTTTTTTTTTAAAGTAATTTTATTGGGGGCTCATACAACTCATCACAATCCATACATACATCAATTGTATAAAGCACATTTGTACATTTGTACATTTGTTACCCTCATTATTCTTTTTTAAAAAAATTATTTCATTGAGGGCTCGTACAATTCTTATCACAGTCCATATATACAATCATTGAGTCAAGCACATATGTACACCTGTGGCCCTCATCAATCTCACAACATTTGCCCTCTACTTTAGCCCTCAATATCGTTTGCTGAGCCTGTCTCTCGTGTGCTGTGCCTGTGCTCTGTGCACTGTCTGTTGTATGTGTGTTGTGTGTGTGTGCTGTGTCTGTGTGTTGTGTCTCTGTGTGTGCATTGTGTGTCGTATGTATGTGTTGTGTGCTGTCTGTTTACATGTGTGCTGTGTGTCTACGGTGGTTTTTGCATCCGTTGTATGTCTGTGTGTTGTGTCTATTGTGTGTGTGTGTCTGTGTGTGTCGATGCTTGTGCATAGTCTGTGTGGTGTGCGTGTCTGTGGTATGTTTCTTGTGTGTCTGTGAGTGTCTGTGCTTGTGCATTGTGTGTCTGTTGTGTCTGTCTGTTGTATCCGTGTGTTGTATCCGTGTGTCTGTGCTTGTGTTGTTTGTCTCTGTGTTATGTCTGTTATATGTGTGCTGTGTTTGTTGTGTGTGTCTGGTGTCTATTGTATGTGTGTTGTGTGTTTCTGTAGTATGTGTATTGTAGGTCTGTGCTTGCGTATTTTGTGCGTCTGTTGTCTATGTGTGTGTTTGTTGTGGATCTATTTGCGTGTGTTGTACATGTGTGTGGTGTCTGTGTTCAGCCCGAGTCTCTGTGCGTATGTGTGTTCTGTGTGGGTCTGCTGTCTATCTGTGTTGTTGTTACCTTTACTATCCATTTTCTGGGCTTGGGCAGAGCATGGCGGATACCTGCCTTCTGGTGGCCATTGTGGGCTTCACTCACCTCTTCAGAAGATGAGAGAGTAGCTGCAGAGAGGGGGAGGAGGGTGTGCGATGGGATGCTGACCGATGGGATGCTGACCGAGCTGCGCTCAAACCCCAGCTGCCCCTCATTCGCAGGGCCTGAGATCCTGACACAGGGACCTTTTCCTGCATCTGTTAAATGGGTTCATCCATGAGGCTCAGTTCATCGTGGTAGGAGGATCGAGGGAATGCCCATCTGATGCCCAAAGACCATCTTCCATCAGGGTCCATCTCAGGTGTTCCCACGCTACGTGTGGTGCAGTCCCTCCTGGCAGGGGGTGGGGGTGGCCCTTCACGCCTCAGGGGTGGCAGTGGAGGACATGCGCCAACTCTATGAAGAGCCAGCGGGAGCATTGTGTGTATGTGTGTGTGTGGGGAGGGCGGGGTTGTGGTCCGGAGAGAAGACACTGACTTGTTCACTTCCTTTCCTTAGAAATAACAACGGTGCCCATTGTGACCACCACGGTGACGGCGGAGCCAAACGTGTCGACACAGGGCGAGCCGAGTTGGGCAGGAGAGCGGTCGCGGATGTCTGTGATGGTCATGACACCTGGTTTCTGGTGCGGCTGCCTTGCTCACCTTCGAATGTCCCTGCTCTAGATGTTCAGAGAGGGCCAGTTTTTAGTGAGGGCCACTGCTAGGACACACAGGCCCACAGGCATCTCTGCCTTACCGCTTAGCTCCACCGATCAAAAAGCGCAGACTCCTGGGTGATTACCTTGACAAGCCAGGGGGATAGAAAGCCAGCCATACCTTGGTGTTTGGCAGGAGCTCTGCAGGTTGTTATAACACCAACAGAAAGCATTTCCGGTCAACGCAACGAGCCTACAGGAGATCCTTCATTGGGGGAAATCTATTGAAAGCGGCCAGAGAATAGACACCAAGTGGAAAGCAGGCACAAAACAAATTTCCAGGAAAAGAGCAAACGCCTGGGAGAGATGGATCTTGAGCGGAGGGGTCATCTTAACCTGGAGCCTCTCCCTCTGCAGATAACAGAGCATACGGGCTAGGAGAAGTCATGCCTTCTTCTAATTGGGGCATCATCTGCTGAGTGGTTTGCAAGGTGGTTCTCCTGGGGCCTGGGGGCCAGTGAGAGACAGAGGAAAAGTGGTTCTGAAGTAGCTGCTTCCCTGATGGGAAGGTCTAATCTTAGACTATTTCTCACCTGCTAGATCTCGCCTCTGCTGATAAAAACCTCAAAGACCCCTCCTCATTGTAGGGTTGATTCTGATCCCATAGCGACCCCATCCAGGGTCCCTGAGGCTGTCCGTCTATGTGAGCAGACAGCCTCATCTTTCTCCCCTGGGGTGGCTGGTGGGTTTGAACCACTGGCCTTTGGTTAATGTTAAGGTGACCAGATTTTAACATTGGTAAAGCGGGACACCACTGTAAAACTCATATCCTGGCGAAATAGCCCCACGGCAGCCGAAAACCGTATACCCTAGCATGTCGTGCATTCTTTCCAAAAATTGGGACTTTTTAAAAAATGCTGCGGGATGCGGGAAAAATTGTTAAAAATCGGGACTGTCCCGCCAAAAGCGGGACGTCTGGTCACC